TTGTTTTGTGTTTTTTTTTTTTTTTTTTTTTTTTTTTTGGCATTTCAAACCAGATGTTTTAGTAAGGATGGCTAATATGTACATGATGGAAGACAGGGATGCACATATATTGAGATATGTGCATAATTGTGGCTGTGGGGCGTGGGAGAGGGGCTTTGCTCTGGTGTGTTGTGTTTCCCGGATTTATAGTTGAAGTCGCTTAAGCATAAATGAAATTCTCTCAGTTACCCAGGACATGAACTATAACTTCACTTAATTTGTTGTTTTGTAAAAATTTGACTGTTACAGTGCATTTCAGTATTTCACTTTATTGGCATGAAATTAGTCTTACTGTGATTCCACCCTCCCCCTCCTCCCTGCCCAGTTTTTTCATGAAGTGGAAAGCAAAATGACATTAAATGAACAAGTGTTGCTTGAATGAAGTACCTTGAGATAAAACTAAAACCTTTCAATGAATAAATACTTTTCATACTACAGATTTCTTAATTTATTTAAGTATGGTCAGTTAAAAAAAAGCTATTCATGGAATATTTTTCTTTTCAATTGAAATTTCTTTCAACAGGTTTGATAATAAAATTTGTCTATTATTTGAAGCATCAGAACAGCTTAGCTTCGTAATTGAATATTTGTTTAATGTTGTTGCCAAATGATAATTTCCATGACTATTCCTTTACTCTGGATATATGCATGATTTCTTTCTTTTTAATCCATGGGAAGAAAAATTTGGCTTCTTTGTGTTAACGTATTTTGCTAATTGGTGCTGAAGGGCTGTTGAAGTTAATTCTTTAATTACAGGGTGAATACTATAAGTAAGTTCATACTTACTGCCCTTGAAGTAGCTTTCTCTCTTTCAGAGAATGAAAGTATAGAATGAGGTGGCCCAATTGGCATTGCTTTACAGTAATATTAAAAAATATGAGAAAGAAGGAAGGACAAAAGAGAGGTATCAGTGCCAACCAGCAAAACAACTACTGGTGTTAAGAATACAAAAGATTAGGTAATTTCCCCTAACTTTATTTAGAATGACAGTGTATATAAAACTTTCATAAAGGCAATTTCCATGAATTCAGCGACCTAATAACTTGCTTTAAGGCTTCTGGTGTAAGCCTTTCATGTGGTTGTCTTTGAGAATTTCAAATGCGTTTATAGTTCACTTCAGGCTGACATTACTTGCAAACAGTTCTTATTATGATCAGGTACGTCTCGGGTGTTGAGAGATCTCCTGCAATACTCCATGCTCATCTCCAGCTCTTCAGTTGTGATTTTCTCCTGGCATGGAAGAAAGCTTTTTGCAAAGCTCATTAAAGCTAATTTGAATATTACCTACAGGTGACTAATATAATATGAAGTATTCCTTTAGAAGCCAAGTGTTTTGCATCCATACTGCTAGTGAGGGAATGCATAGATTTTTGTTCAAGTGTTTTGGCTGTCATGCAAGAAAACTAATTAGTTACTTTCAGGAACTTTCTTGGCATTCTGCTTAGTTTTGGAACAGTTGAGTAGAAAATGCAGAGGCATTCTTAGGCTTGAAATACTTTTTACAGTTCTAATACAATTTTTATTTATATATAAAATATTGTTCACGCTCGAAGACTTAGGAGGACCAAGGACTCCAAAAGTGGAGAGTGAGATTGAGTTATGTTTTTGTATCAGTACAGGCCTCACTTACTTCTAAGCTCTCTCAGAAATGGCATAACTGACAACTTTTTCAGTTCGCAAAGGCTGGTACTTTGTGCAAAATAGATGTTAAAAAAAAAAAAAAAAAAAAAGCTCTCTTCATTCCTGAAATACAGCAGTGGCTGGAATTGTGTTAAGGTAAACTGACAAAGGAAAGGCAAGGCACAGGAAGAAAAGGAACAATAAACAGATGTGTGATTAGGTCTGATTCCATACTTCGTGTCAACAAAAAGTACATTCTGCAAGTGGCTGGTAAAATAAGATCCTTTGCTTTGTGATGAAATTTTGGATTATTTTAAGTCCAAGTTGCCTGCTAGATATGCGATTCAAGTAAAAAAGAAAAAGCCCATGAGCTGTCAGTCCAGCATTGTTCTTTTGGTACTTGTCCAGTTAAAAGCTCTTAGCACAGCTGCTGTTTCTGATACGCTGTAAGACTGTCCTCTGCAGCACCAGAAGATAAGAAAAGGAGGTGAACACCAGCACAGTTTAGCCAGATTGCATCAAAGAAACTGGCCGTTGGACCTTGTTCTGCAAGCCCACAGGTTAAGCTAATACCTAAACTAGCACCTAATGGACAAGTGGTAAAGATCATCCTTACTAGCAGTGGTAATTTTAAAACACACAGTAGCGGATGTAAATCTACAGGGGGTCTATAAAAGGAAACGCATGGATGCAGGTGCGTCTTATGGATACTTTTGTGTTCTATTGCCGTGTCATGTGAGTGGTTTTGTGTTTGTTTTTAGTTATCTAAAAATTGGCTTAAATATAGCCTTATAGTATCAGGTTATTGCTCAGATCAGAATGAGTGAGTTTGAATGTGATCAATTTCTCAAATACTACATTTTCCCAACAGTCTCTGAACTTGTCTTTGAGGTCTATTCCCCGAGGTATTTTTCAATTCTCATAATTTCAGGGAAGATTCTGAAATCAGACTGTTAAATAATGATGTGTTAGAATATTCCTAATCTGCATCGTTCTTATGATCACTTTACAGCTTTTGCCTTATGACAGTTGTATTGGCATAACTAATGGAGCAGTGAATGTTGTTGTCGTGATGGAGATGAGTAGTGCAGGAATTTGTCACCTCTGCTTCTAAGGCATATTGTGCTATTGTTTATTTGCTCTGGTAGCTGGGATTTCAGTCAGGATGTGAAAGGAGAACAAGAGGCAGGGGAGGAAGAAAAGAAGTGAGGATGTGAGGGAAGAGGCTGGTTTGACCAGTAATAGAGTCAAAAAGGTCTATGTATGTCTGAAGTAGAGAAAAAGTTTCTTTATAAAATTAATTCTGTGTTAAAACTGAAAATTCCAGAGAAGGTTTAAAAATCATTCTTGATACTCTTGGCTGTATTTTATAATTCTTCTTAAACTGAATATCCAGAGATTCAGATTTTGAAAATTAGGCATAAAATCTTGTAATACCAAGCATTGAAATGTTTTGAGGGTTTCACATACAAATGCTAGCTTTGCCTCAGAGCTGAGGCTCTGAATATGCATGCTGAGGAAATGAGTCCTTAAACCTTAAATATATGTTCATTTAAAGGTATTTTAAAAATTTATTTCACCTGCTAATGCGATTGAAACTTTAAAGAAATATGGTAGCATTCTTTTGTTTCGGTTTTATTTTGTTATTCATTTCACCTGATTACTATCAGGAATTCCTGGTGGTTTTTTTTTTCCCCCTTGTTTTTTCTCTTCCCCCCCCGCATTATATCTTTACACACTCTTCCAAGTTTGAACATCATGCCTTCTTTCTCTTTTAGGGTGTACCTACTCCATCTGTTCTTGAAGTTAGTTATAAAATTTATTGTCAAAGAAGCCATTGCAGCATTGCATCTGCTGTTCCTTTGATGGCTCACTGGTATCTTACCTAAATAATGGAAAGCAACAGAATGACATTTTGTTACGTGACTTCTATGTAGACTTTTTGCAAATGTTATTTGACAGTACCTGTGACTAAATGATTTTTAGAGTTAAGAATAAGATATTGTAATGTTAAAGGAATATTTCTCATTCATTGATTTTTTTTTTTTTTAATTTTTTTTTTAATGATTTGGAAAGATGTGTAAGGTAGTCATTCACAACGCCTGTGCATGCTGTATTTGGCTGTGAAAGCCCAATCTCCGTCTCAGCATTGTCCTCATAGAAATGAGATTCCAAAATATTAAGTAGGCAACTTATAGTTCCCAATGGTTTTTGAGAACCACAAGTTCATGTCTTTCAGTTTAGTTTAAATGCTTCAAGCTTTGTGTTTGCTTTAAAACAAATCTAAGTTTTTACAACTGCTTGCTTATTTTTTCAAAGCCAAATGTGATTAAATACTAGGTACAATTCAAGAAGCTTGGTATGTTCACAGACTGAAAAATCAATCTTACATTGAGACTCTTGTTTGGGTTTACCGTGTAGAAGTTATGGATGCTAAAAGAAGTTAAAAGGTTGTAAAACATAAAAATGCTACTGACCTAGCAACAAACAAACTTAACAATATTAATTTGAGTTGATGTAAGGTTCTCATTTGAAATAATTCTTGAGCTCAGAGTTTCGTTTTCGTTGTGTTATAGTGAAATATTTTCACCTTTTCCAACTGTTTTATCTCATATGTGTGAATTTGGAATTTTAACTTGATATTGGCAGCAAAAAATCCTTAGCTGGTACAGCTAACTTATTAGCCAAAAATGGGGTGGGGGGGGGGGGAGGGAGAAGATTGATTGCATTTGGAGAAGTGAATATTTCAAAGTTGTCTTTGAAAAAGATCTACCAATTGGTTGACTGTTACCATTTTCAATCATGACTAATTTCTATGAAACTGAATATTTTTTATTAGTTTATCAAACTAATAAACTATGTCTAATTCATATCATAGGAAGCCAGCATGTAAGATGTATATATTTTTGTATCTACCATTAAGTTCAGGAAACATTTTTGTGTTTGGATGTTGATCGTTAATGGTCTTTCTTCTAGCTGACATGTTTTCAAGATGGTTTACCAGTATATATTGAATGTTAACTAATTCAATGTGATACAGATAGTATCTGTGATATTTCCATTTGAAGGAACCCTGCTGTTAAGTCACAATGCAACATTCAAGCAAATTGCAGTTGTCACTCCTGCCTAGGACACTGTTAACATGAAAAGATCCAACCTGAGCATAGAAAATGGATGTTAATGCTTGTTCTTTACTTCCTTTCTGTTGTACTACTTATTGTAGGCAAGATTTCCAAAAGTGCTTTGTTGACTTAGGATTGCAGTTCTTACTGAGGTTTCTAAAAACTCATTATTCACTCAAGAAACGCAGTGATTTTGAAAACCATGGGGAAGCTAATGTATAAATGTTACAGATCAGAACGTGGAGCCTTAGTACAGCTTCCTGGCTTCTTATTGAATGCTTCATGAGAGACGTTTAAGACCATAATAATTTTTTTATAAACTTGACCTATTGTAAAATCTTTCTGATAATAAAGATGTGGCCAGTGTTTGATTGCATCACACTTACAGGTATGCACACTAAGTATGAATGTGTTGACATTCTTCTGCATTCATGAAATAAATGTAAATGTCATCTCTTTTCTTTTAAGGAAATGATCATCGACAAGGTTAATGGACAGGTTGTCCCTCGGTACTTGATATATGACATTATTAAGTTTAATGTAAGTACTTTCAGTTTTATTGCTTTTAGTTATTGATTCTCATTTCTGTTTTAATCTTATTTATATAAGTAAGAGCTTCAGAGTAAATTTAAACGCCAAAAGTGTTTGGGTATTTTGTGACTCGATAACAAGCAATGCATCAGAATTAAGATTGAAAGCAACCTTATAACAGACGCTGATTTATTTCCACCTGCTCAAGAAAAGATGGTGGTTTGAAACAGTCTGCTAAACACTGTTGGAAAATTTCCCATTTCTAGAGCATGTTTGAACTATTTAGGCAGTGAAATTGAGAGGGGATGGAGAAGTTAGCCTGTAAGTGGTGTATTTGTTACCAGAGCATCACAGTGGTCCTTGTTAGGCTGCTCCATCACGTCTTTCTCAAATTTCTCTTTCAAAACCAGGCAACTGGTCCTCTGTGAAGTCCTCAACAGCAGCCTTTCCTGTTTATGCTGGCAGTAGGGCCCATATGTAGTAAAGACGTATATCGTGGAAGTTGTGCAAAAGGGGAAGCCTTTGTTGATAGCTGGAAATAAAGTCTCTGTGGTTACAAGAAAGACCTGTCAAACAGTACAGAAAATGAGAAACGTTTTTTCTTTAAAGCAGCTTTCAAATATGAGAAAGTTTTGAATGTCACCAAAGAGCTCTTGTATGTTATCTTTTATAGATTTTTTTTTTTTAATTATTTCTTGTATTTTTCCCCCCAAAGGTATGATATATGTAGAATTTGAAGTTAGTCGGGGGTCTTACGGCAGGGTCTTCTACTGAAGCTTATTTGAAGAACTAACTTTGACAATGTGTTCCACTTGTTAGCCCTTATTATGAAATAAATTTTCTAGTGTTTTCTCTGTTATGTCTAAGGAAGAGAAAACGTCCTTCAGGAAGGTTCAATTTAACCACAGATACCTTTTTAAAACACTATCTAAAATAATTTTGTGAAAACAGAAAGTGCATACTGGTTTTGGTTGTGATAGAGTTAATGTTCGTCATAGTAGCTCATAGGGTGCTGCATTTTAGATTTGTGATCAAAACAGTGGTGATAACACAGGGATGTTTTAGCTAATGCTGAGCAGTGCTTGAACAGCATCAAGACCTTTTCTGCTTCTCACCCCGCCCCACCAGCTGGGGATGCACAAGAAGTTGGGAGGGGACACAGCCGGGACAGCTGACCCCAACTGGCCAAAGGGATATTCCGTACCATATGACATCGTGCTCAGCAGTAAAAGCTGGGGGAGGAAGGAGGAGGGGACATTGGGCATGATGGCGTTTGTCTTCCCAAGTAACCGTTGCGCGTGATGGAGCCCTGCTTTCCTGCAAATGGCTTAAACACCTGCCTGCCGATGGGAAGTAGCGAATGAATTCCTTGTTTTGCTTTGCTTGCGTGTGCAGCTTTTGCTTTACCTATTAAACTGTCTTTAGCTCAACCCATGAGTTTTCTCGCTTTTACCCTTTTGATTCTCTCCCCCATCCCATTCTAGGGGGAGTGAGTGAGTGGCTGTGTGGGGCTTAGCTGCCTACCGTGGTTAAACCACAACAATGTCTTACGTGTAGTCACTAGACCTGTGACTAAATAGCCCATGGAAAAACACTCTAGTATCTGTTAATGCTTCTGGAAAAAGAAAATTATTGTTTCTGTGCTTCTGACAGGACAAAAAGTATTACTAAACCATAGTGCATTTCAGATGTCCTTAACTACCATTGATTATTCCAGACTTGAGTAAGGTACTACTCAGCTTGAGTAGGCCACTCGGTGTAAGTGGGAATTGCAATTGTAGGCATGCTGCTGGTCACCAAAAATGACTTTGGTATTCTTGGAAGTGTAGTAATACTGTGTCTTAGGACAGCCTCTTTTAAAAGTAATAGTTCATGGGGAATACATGATAGATTAGGAATAGAAGCTTTTCTGCATCTTGATGATCTTTTCTTTAACCTTTTCTGAAAAGTAGGTGTTAGTTTCCTCATATGATTAGGACTTTTCAGTAAGCAGAATTTCCTTGTAGACTTCTGAAAAATACGACCTTCTAAAACCACTCCTGGGTTCTCATTTTTCCTTTACATTTTCTTACTTGTTCCTCTGCCTGTGATTCCATGCTTATTTACCTTCATGTCTTGCCTTGTTTCTGCTCTCACTTCATGTCTAACCTGCCATTCACTGCTGTTACTCTCCCTTTGAAAAATAAATGTAAGGTAGAAGGGTACAGTCTCCCTTCTTCCCTCAGTTTGGGATATGCATATACTGTCCTAGCAAAATAACACTTTTTGAAAGTCGTAATTGTTTTGGTGAAATGTTTTTTGGGGGGGAAGTGGAGGAAACCCTTATTTGTAGTGAAGTGTTCAGGCTTAACATGAAGAATCCCACTTGGCAAACAGGAAAAATCAGAGGGTTTCCAGAGGATTGTTAAGGTTTGGGAAAAGTCTGCTTTTGAGCAGGGCTGTCAAGGCTTTAAAGCTTGTTTGGTTTTGTTTATTTGTTTTTTAAATACACTGGGAATGAGAGAGAGGAGTTAGTTACTATGTAGTACTATTTTAATGTCAAGGACAAATTAAGATAATGTTATCAGTACGAGTACAAGCAGGGCTTCAGCTGCAAGAAGTCATTAGCAATGGTCCTACTACAAAGATTAAAAAGCACAGTGGTTTTTAGGTTAATTTTAGAAGCTTAATTACAAAACTGGGCACCCGAGGATGTTTTGCTTGGCAAGAAACGATCAACAGAATTTTGTCACCAAGAGAGGTAATTGTATTGAAAACTTGTAATTGGCAAGAAAGGATAAGTTCCTTTTTAAGTTGTGTAAGTAAGATTTGTGTAAATTTTCCTAGCAGAGCTTCAAATCAAATAATTGCACAAAGCATCAGTCCTGTTTAAAAACAAAAGAAAACACCCCCCCCCCCCAAAAAAAAAAAAAAAAACCAAAACAAAACAAGCTGACAGCTATATGAGGTCCTCCAGAATTCGACATTGCTCCTTTTGATCTTGAAAATAGTTGTGTCTTCTGAAGGTGAATGGTGAAGTTACTGTACTCACTGTCCGTCATGTGAGTTACAAGATTTCCAGCATGGTTCCATCTCATCCTCCGCAGTGACTCAGCATACTCTGCTGTTAGAGATGCGACATTGCTGCTGGGGAAATGTGAATGCAAACCCCACAACACCTTCGCTCAGGCAGGCCTCATGTTTAAGTTGGGTCTAGTGAGCTAGAGATGTTTTCAGCTGACCTTATTCTCAAATGCTCCACCTATTTTGCTTGCACGCCATCCCATACTAGCTAAGTGTTACAAAGTTTTCTGGCTTTGTCAGAGATTCCTTCTGAAATACTGCATTCACAAATGCCACATTAAGTCACAAAGACTAATGTGCGCTATTAATACTGCTGAGAATTTGTGTGTTAGGATGACCAGCACTAACACAAAAATACAGGAGTTAGTACTAAAATGAGGTAATATATAGTTTTTCAGAATGTACCATGTATTTATAGTAAGATTTATGTCAACTTGCGCCCCTCGGGATGACTGTAAATAGTACAGTGAAAGCTGTTACCATGTATACACAAAAATCATGGAATTAAATTTTAGATCACAGCAAAATGATGTGATCATCAAAATGAGGCCACCTCAGGTGGCCAAGAGGGCCAGTGGCATCCTGGCTTGTACCAGGAATAGTGTGGCCAGCAGGACCAGGGAGGTGATAGTCCCCCTGTACTCAGCACTGGTGAGGCCGCACCTCGAGTACTGTGTTCAGTTTTGGGCCCCTCACTACAAGAAGGACATGGAGGGAGCGGGGCCAGTCCAGAGGAGGGCAACGAAGCTGGTGAAGGGTCTGGAGCACAAGTCTTATGAGGAGCAGCTGAGGGAACTGGGGTTGTTAAGTCTGAAGAAGAGGAGGCTGAGGGGAGACCTTATTGCTCTCTACAACTACCTGAAAGGAGGGTGTAGCGAGGTGGGGGTCGGTCTCTTCTCCGAAGTAACGAGTGATAGGATGAGAGGAAATGGCCTCAAGCTGCCCCAGGGGAAGTTTAAGTTGGATATTAGGAGAAACTTCTTCATGGAAAGGGTAGTCAGGCATTCGACCAGGCTGCCCAGGGAAGTGGTGGAGTCCCCATCCCTGGAGGTATTTAAAAGCTGGGTAGATGTGGTGCTTAGGGACATGGTGTAGTGGTGGACTTGGTAGTGATAGGTTAATGGTTGGACTTGATGATCTTAAGTGTGTTTTCCAACCTTAATGATTCTATGATTCTATGAAAATAATGTCATATAATTTAAAATTTCCAAACATCAGTTACTGTAATATCACTTCGAACTGTTCTCAGTATATTTGGCCAGCATTATTGTTGTGCTTCAAAATAGTAGTGTACTCCATTCTTGTATTTATTTTAGTCCTTCATTATCTTGGTTTAAGGGGGCTAAATAGTGTTAAAATTAGTGTTTGGAAGTGTAGCAGTTGAGACAGGGCAACCTTATCTCTGTTCTATGCCATATTTTTCTGGCTTTTAACAAGGAGACTTGTAGGACTGAAGACTGATACCTAAATGAAGCCCAAAGAGCTTAGCCTGGCTTCTTTGTGTCTAAGTTAAGTAAATACCATGACCACTGTTGCTTTTTATGAACAGAAATGGTGAGAGGGTACGTTTATTCTTAAAGCTCTATGTTTAAATTTTCATCCTAAAAACCAAAGATCCCAAACTATAAATAGTTGTGTTCAATTTGTCCCTTGCAGCTCTGGCATTTGAAAAGTTAAGTGTTTAAGAAATAAATGTCCACTTGAGATTTAAGAGAAGTAGCGGTCTGCTATCAATGGATCAGCTGGGAGTAAAAGTAAGGGTTTTCATTTTATGTACAATACTATGATTTTGGGAGAACATCATGGAATGACGGAGCTGAGTGCCTCAGTACATCACAGGATCTTTCTTCAGACTTAGTCAGGATTTCATCTGAGTGTGACCCAGAGGAGGAAAGGAAGTCACCTTAAACAAGGATGACGTGATCATCAGGAGAGAGTGGTAACAG